AACTGTCAATTAGATATTAATAATGTAAAAATAATACATAAAGAGAAAAATATTGTAAAAAGAAAATTTAAAGAACATTTCGCGATAATTATGCAAAGTAATGTAATGAATTTGAATAATGGGGTGATACCAGCGGAATGCTGGGAAGAGTTTGTGTTTCTTAAAGATTGTAAACGCGATGGTGTCAGTGAGAAAGATGTGTCTTCTTCTGTGTCTACGACGGAAAAAAATGTGTCGTCTGAGATACCTTCTGCTGTTCCTATTGTACACTCTAGTCATCAGAAACCCTACTGAAGAGGCCTTGACAGGCGAAATGCATTTGGGGTGAAGTATATATTTATATAGAAATAAAATTATATTTTCTTTGTTAACCTGTTTACCTTTTTTAATTTTTTATACCAGTCTACGGACTCGGGACTTATTAAGCCTCCAAAGGTCAGAAACGAATGGAAAACTAGTAGTTTTCCGTGTACTAAAGATTAGTACAGTACGGTAATAATAATAAAAAAATAGATTATCTGACTCCATCGATTCTTTTTAGAATATTTTTATATAAATATTATTATTATTATGTGTATCATAATTTTTTAACTATCTTGGATAAATGTCATAATATAAAATATAAGTAAAGCCAGTATATCTAATATTTTATAGAATTATGATTAATGTAAATCAGGGGGTGTCCAACCTTTTTGTTTCTCTGGGCCATATTAGAAGTAGTCATGGAGTTTTGGGCCACAAGTACAGTGGAACCCCGGTTAACGAACTTAATTCATTCCACGACTCCGTTCGTTAACTGAAGCAATTTTTCCCATAGAAATTAATGCAAATGCAATTAATCTGTTCTAGTGTCCGAAATTTTTGTGATTTTATTTGCAATATACAGTAATTTTCTTTGATAAAAATGTATGAAAACATAGTATCTATCATTACAGCAACAAACATGTAAACTTTGTTTAATAAAATAGCACTGTACATATCTTTGTTTGTTGTAGTTGATGGCAGAAAAGTGGAGATATACGAACCTTAATGCCTTTTAGAAGGGGAATCCCCTCCAAAAAAATAACGGGTAGCACTTCATCGAAAGATTCTTTGAGTCGAAGTCTCTTTTGGTAAAAAAAACCCC